CCTGCAGTTTCCCATTCACAGTGTCTTCAAATGCTAACAAACTGCTGGAAGGAGATGCAAACCACAGATACAAACCACAAACTCCCTCATACTGAAGCTACTCTGCACCCAGTCAGCCTGAAAGTTGTCTGATTCTCTGGCAATGGGAGATTGCCAGCCTATGCTCTTTCTGAGGTATAGAGCAGGAGGGGGGGATTGTGACAAGGCAAAGGAACAATCTTAACTTGCCATGAAAAACTAAGGAATTACAAAGAGACTTTTCTTCCTACATCAGTTACTTCCAAAGTGGTGAGTTTTCAGTTCTCATATTTTGTTACAGTACCCATTTACTATTTGGGGGCTTTACTTTCTAACATACTGGCAGAAAGACACACAGCCACAGGCAGCTCAGCCACATTCCCAGGAGGCAAAAGGAGTTCTGTGAAGGGATGTTCCTAGGGTCCGGTGTCTTGTATTCAAAAGACCTTTCCTTTTCCTAGGTCTTTCCTCCTTCCTTGTCTGTCACTTGCTCTTTGTTTGCAAGGCTGATTTAAATCTATCCAAGGGCCCCACGTTTACCCCAGAAAGAATAATAATTGCAGTGCTGAGCTCTGTGGCTTCCCTTTCATTCCCCACATAGCATTAGGGTGCTCACTGAAACCACAACATTCATGGATCCTTGCCATATGAAAACATGCAATTAATATGTTCTTCACTTTCCCCTCTACTTCCTAAGCAAAATGGGGGGAAAAAAGCACAAGTTGGGTGTATATTTCCTTATGACACACGTGTGTGTCTGATCTCTGCAGGCTCCAGCATGGCTCACACCTACCTGGATTTGGTGGTCACTGATGAAGTGAATCTGCTTGCAGGCAGACATTTGATTTTATGTTCTGTGTAGCTGCACACAAAGCAACATGCAGAACACAATTCATTCCCTCTTTCGCTTGTGGCAGCAGACCTATGAACATTCTGGTTTCACAGGTATTACCCCCTTCTCTGTTTTTAGCAGAGCTACAATGGATGTGATCTCTGTGCTGGCTCCCCTCCCTGTCCCACTGCTGCTTGCTGGTGGTGGAAACAGGTGTGCTGGGTACCTGGCTGGGAGTGTACACAGCAGGAGGAAGGAAATGGAAAGCAGCTGAAGCCAGCTGGAGAGAGAAGTTTGTGTGCAAGAGTTTAAACCAGCCGCTGGAAGGAAATCAAAAGGTAGACGGAGTTCCTGGATGAGGCAGAGCTGTGAATCAGAGTGGAAAGAAAGGGTCCAGAAACTACAAGTCCTTCCTCAAAAGTTACCTTTTTCTAGAGAATGTTTTGCTGTATCACTCCCTATCTTGACTTTTTCCTGGGTTTTTAATTGTCCCATAAAAACCTAAGTGAAGAAATCACAGCCAAAGGGTTGGATACATAACTACTTGTGCCATCACACATGACCCACCTCCTAAGAGTCTGTCTGGGGATTGTAGTACCTCTTCTTTGAACTAGGCTGAAAGACCCATTTCCATCCTCACCTTGTTCTCAGTTCCTGCTTCAGGAGCAGAGGGGACCTACAATGCAGCAGTTTCTCCCTCTGTCCGTGGTGCACAAAACAGTGAGCAAAACCACACCAAAGCGATATACAGAGAAGTAATCAAATCCAGAGAAAAGACAAAGCAAAATGAAGGCAAGACTGTTGCAAAGAGCTACTGAAGGGGCCAAAGTATGGAGCCTGCATGACTCCAGAAAATCTTCATGGCTAGGAAGACAGCTTGTGGCAGAAGCTGTCTATTCCATCCATATGAACACCAACACTGGAAAAATAAGTAGGACAAATGGTATCTTTCACAGACTTTAAGTAAAAACTTGTCTTTGGTGGCAGTCCTAAAGAGCCAGCCTGACCCCCAAAACAAAGCAGTTCTAACAGCATGAATCATTCCCATACTAACCATCCAGGCTGCAAATGCTACGCAGATGACCCTTCTGTAACAACAGAGCCTGCATGCAGCAGACCAAAAATCACTGACATTTCACCCTACATTCCTCAAGAAACACTTGTCCTTGAAGAGTCTGTGAAACCTCCTGGCACAAACCTGGGTGGGGGAACCAAAAGCTTTGGCCTGACTTGTAGCAGAATGGCCTGGATTGCTGTCCACGTGTTCAAGCCCAGGGCCTGCTTACTTTGTCTTATGTGTCCTGCTCATAACAATGAAGGGTGAAGGCAAAGCAAATGCAAAATGAGAGACTTGCAGTTCTCACTGCATGGACACGAAGGCAAACAGTGAGAACAGGACCAGGCAGGATGGAGCACAGGAGAGCATGAAAAGAAAGTAATTTCTTATGAGAAATGGACTGATGATTCACTTCTCAGCAGTGATAAATTTAGCTTGGTTGGTCATACATGTGTATTTGCAGTACCAAATATTGTGAGGCCAGGAAGACTTACCTGTTGTCAGTTTGACTTGTTCACCCTGAACATACTTGATTGCTATTTCAATCTCCTGCTGTAATCAGATTGCAAATAAATCTAATTATAAAATCAGAGAAAACTGGGTTGAGAAGGAATTTGAATGATCATGTCATTCAGCCCCTGCCCCAAGGTTGCTTTCTGCTCCACTGTATCTATGTCCAAAGAGAACTTGGTTGAAAAGATGCTCTAGTAAGGGTGATGCACCACTCAAGCGTTGCAAGTGCTGCAGTAGCCATGCCTTTGCTTCAGCAGTGCTGCTCAGCCTGTCCTTTTCCCCCTTTGCTGCAGGTACCCATGACCAGCTGTAGCAACACATCTGAGTTTTTCTGAATTGTAATCACCTCCCCTCACCTATCAAGAATTTACCTGTCTCCAGGTCTCTTCTGGAGCACAAAACTGCTTTCCTGAAGAAATAACTCTCCTTTTTGGCTCCAGGGGACCAGCAAGCAACACTCTCTGACCACCTAGATGACATTTCCATTGCCTTTAGTGAACTGCACTCATGTCTGACATAAGGCAAATGTTCATTTCAAAGCTCTACACAAATGCTAGGGATGGGGGTTCCCATCAGAGCTCTCCAAGATGGGACAGAGCAGCTTTCCTGTTCAACACCAAAATGCGATATTTATTATGATTCTTCCTTGCCTGCAAAGGTGCAGCAGTGATAGGCAGGGAAGCTGCATCTGGGCAGTTACACTCAGTACTAAAAACACTGAATAGAAGGGTTTCAGACCAGGCTATTTAATTTTTTTTCTGAGATATTTTAATCTCCAGAATGGATTTCACAGCTCCTATCTGACTGTGCCAAAGCATTTTGCCTTCAGAGCACAGACAAACAAGTGAGGTTTACTTTGCTTGACCTTTTCCGATGACACTGCCACCCATGCTGTGCAAACCGTAGCTGACACCATCTGAGCTTCCTCGGCCTGAGGATAAATACAGTGTGTGTCCTGAGAAGAGGCTTTCTTGTGTTAGCTTGGGTGAGGCACTGAACCAGAAACTCTTGGTTTCACGAATGAGTCTTCATAGCTAGGGAAGCGATATCTGTGTTTGGTTAGTGGCAGGAGGGGAAGCTGCCCCTGCTGTGGCTCTGGCTGTGCTCTGAGACCCTGGCTGTCACTCCATTGCTATGGCAGGATTTGGTCTGTCTACCCTTGCAGCTGAGAACCCTGCTGACTGGGATGTTAAAGGAAATCTTCCCCCTTACTTGGAGACAGCTTTACTTCTTGCTGAAGGGTCTGGACATATTTCTTCTTCCCATCTTACTGTGGCAAAGGTTTTCATGTTCCCCCCTTTAAACCCACTGGCATCCACATTAACAAAGAGGTTACTTTACCATTCAGGAAGTAGGAACAGCATTATTTTCTCAGCACAACTCCATCCTGGCTGAATTTATGTTTCTGACCTTTTACCCAAAGGCTCTTTACACTTGACTGAAACATAAGGTAAAAGTAAATGTAACTGAAAGAGCTCATTGTGTGCGTAAGTATAAAGGCTTTTGTGTGCAGGATGTGGCTGCTGGTGCAACCAGTAGCCAAGGAGCACCTTGGGTTGTGCTGTTACTTCTGACAGCCATGGAGAATGGGGAACAAGAGCCTGGATGGATGAAAACCCCACGCCCAGTTTAAGCACAGGCTCCAGCCAGCTTCAAATCAGCACTTCTTTGCCTTCTCACCGCTGGCAACGTCCGGCCAGGTTTCCCCCAGGAGAGATGCACTGCTGTCTTTGGGTTTTTTCCGCCAGATGCCTGTAACCAAGAAAGCCCCTCCTTGGAGCTGGGACACTCAGTCTGTTCTCTGTGGAGCCGTGAAAACAGAGAGAGATTAATAAAACATCAGGGTTTCTTCAACGGGATTATTATAAGTGGTTTTCCTGAGTGTTGGTTGGAGTAATGATCAGAGAAGACAGGGATCCATAATCCTGTTTATCTGAAACCATATAATCTTCCTGATGCTCTTTAATGGTGCCCAGCTCTTTAATTACAGAGCAGCCGCATGTGCTGCTGCAGCCAGGCCTACCTGCAAGCCCACTGCGGGGAGCGGGGAAAAGGAGACCTCCCTGCCGGCTGCCCTTCAGGCTCCCATCCCGCGGAATGCCCATCTTTCCCGGCGTCGCTCCCCGAGGGATGCAGAAGAGCCACCAAAGCCGGCCGGCTGCTGAAAGGAGGGTTTGTTCAGTTCGTCAAACTGACACGGCTCTGCCGGGGACCAGCACCGCCCTCGGGTCCCTGCGCAGCGCCGGGAGAAGCACGGAAGCCCCGGGCAGCCACCGGCCTCGCCCCGCCCGGTGCTGCGGGGGCTGCCCGGGAGGCGGGGGCGCTGCCTCGAGGGGGTGTCTGCGCGGGAAGTCCCGCCCCGGTGGCTCCCGGAGAGCGGCGGGGGCGTGCCGCGGCCGGCCCCTCGGCAGCGGGGCACTGACAGCCGCCCTGAGCGGCACCGGCGCGGCGCTCCGCTCCCGTGCCCGCCCGGCGGTCGCTGCCGCCCCGCCGCCTATGGGCCGCCGCCGCCGGGGGGCGGGCGGGAGCGTGCGGCCGCAGTGAGCCCGGCCGGCCGAGCGCGGGGGGCGGCCGAGCCCCGGCACCGCGGGCACCATGGACAGTATCCTGGAGCCCTTCCCCGCCGAGCGGCTCTTCCCCGCCGCCGGCACCGGTTTCCTCGACTTCGGCGACTTCAGCGAGGCGGACTTCCTCAGCAATGTGGTAAGGGACCGCCGGCAGCACCCCCGCTCCGGCGGGCCGGCCCCGGCAGCGGCGACGGGACACGGCGGCGGGCTCTGCTCGGTCCCCGCCCTGCCCCGCCTGCCCCCGAGGTGCCCCGGAGATGCAGGGAGCCGGGTTCCCGCCGTCGCACACGGCCAGCTCCCCGCTGGACTGGCCCGGCCGCTGTTACCCCGAGGAGACCCCGCCGGGGAATCTCAGGGCTGCCCTACACTATGGTTTTATGAGCCTGACGGCTGGGGAGAAGTGCGCGGTGCCAGGCGGGGGCTGTACGTCCTGCCTGTCGTGTGTGAGCTCGGGCAGCACCGGAGGCACCGCCGGTTGCCGCCGGGAGAGCTTTGGGCTCAGCGCCTCCTCTCTCCTTTGCCTGTAACTTTTCCTCAGAGTGGCATTTGGGAGAGGAGGCATCTATCGCCTGGCGCTTTAGCTGGGCTGATTTACTTTGGAGAGAAGGGCGAGGGGGAAGAGTGACTCGGGAGGAAAATGTGTTGCCAGTCTCAGGGAACCAAAGGGGCATTGTTCACCTCTAGGGAAACTGCCCGGCCTCTCCCAGGAGTCAGGCGAGTTCTCAGTCCAGCAGGTCTCCCTGAGAACACGCACAGACTCTTTGCTGTAGAGCCCGAGCTTTCCATGGGAGTTTCCATGGGATCCTGCAGCCCCTCTGCCAGGCAGGACCCAGCCCTGTGGCAGAAGAGGGAAGGTCCCCACCCCAGAGGTGCTATGGAGTGAGGGTATCCGGCGCTGGGCAGCAGGGCACTGCCTGAAGGAGAGGCTCCGCCAGCCTGTGAGCGGCTGCAGCCGTGGGACAGTGTGCCTGCCCCGGACAGAGATCTGAACAATGGCTTGTTACTCCCCTTTCACAGTACTGGCACCTCCCGTGTTCCCGGTGTTAGCACTGTGAGCGTCTCGGAGGACTGTCCTTGCAGTGGGAGCAGGAAACAGGGAGAGGGTGAATCCACTGATGAATCCACTTCTGCTTTGCTACACAAAAGATGTCTAAAGCCTTTTATGTTGCCTCCTTTGTGAGGGAGACGGTAGAGCTGTAGAATATGCATAAATATTAAATGCACTGCACCAAGCAGAGGCACACAGGCTCTGGGAAAGAGATTATGGAGGCAGCCCCATCCCTCAGAGATCTTGCCAGCTGCTAATTTCCAAGATAGCTTTGTGCCTCAAGGACTGATTCCATTGGGCTCTACCAGAGGCAAGAGTCCACAGTGTTCAGGCAGACCTTCCAATGACACATCACCCCAAGACTGAGCGCTTGCCTTGGCTGCTCATATCTGAGAGACCTGTTGCTAGGAGTTTTGTGCTTTCCCTAATTCTGAACACATCCAGCGTGGATGAAGCTATACTGATAAGAAGTGCTTTATGCCAAGACCATTTATTCCTTTACCAAAATGAAAATAGTATGTATTGCCACCTTTTACCAGGTGCAACATGGGCTGTGGTCAGAAGTCAGGGAACACCTAACCAGTATAGGTGGTACCTTTTTATAGTTAAACACAACTTCTGCTTGCAAGCAGACTCTGTGAAAAGGAAGCTTTTGTGTAAGAGTGCCATCTGGTGCCACCTGCCAGGACAGTGTGTTTAAAGTGTGTGGTGGCTGTGGGCAGGCTGGCTCTGTCCTGCCTCATTTAAATGGCTTTTCTGCTTGGAGAGCTGCTTCTGGAAGCAGCTTGCCCTTCTCTTCTCATTTAACTATGTTGCAGTGACTCAGGCATCGTTGTGCTCAGCTGACAGCAGAAAGGCGCTTTTTTTAAGGCTTTTTTTTTTTTTTCCTGTGGATTTTTTTTCCCAACTGCCAGCACCACAAACTTCTGCTGGAGTGAGTCAAGCTGAAACCTTCTCTTCCTGCAGATGATACATATGAGAGATTCTGTAGCCACTTCTGGCCTACCAAATCTATTGGTGATACAAAAGCCAGAATATAAAATACATCACTCTCTTTGTTCTCACTCTGCATGACAATGGGGAGGATGGAAGAAATACACTTGGATTTTCTTGCTAAATGCAGCAAATCTCCTGGGATCTTGCAATATGTGGAGAAGTTCTTTTGACATCACCGTGCACAATAGCTCACAAAGTTGCCAATGCCTTTGCTTCAAAGATGGGCAAATTTTTCCAGATATTATTCAGGAGGCATTTTTCTAAAAACGGGCCAGGAATTTCAGTCATAAAATGTCAGTATGAAATTTTTGTGAGTAGGATTTCCTCTTTTCAGAAAGGAAGCAGAAAGAAAAGATGGATGAACCTTACTGCAGAGTCTGTGCTCCTTTGGGGCAAGAATTGCGTGTGTCTAAACTATTCTCTTTTCCACAACCTTGGCAGTCCTAATGAGTCATCTTGGTCTTTAAAAAATGGTTCTCTGTATTGTTCATCTGAAGCTGTGACAAAGAATTAATTAAAGCACATCTGTAGATGCATCTTCAGAAAGGTCTGTGTGCTTGCAACAGAAAAAAAATTTGTGTGGGGGCTGCCTTTCAGAGACATCTTCCCAGGCTGTAGGAATAGGTTGACAGAAACCTCATGAAATTCTACAAGAACAAACCCCAACTCATGTCCCTGGGATGGATGGATGGATGGATGGATGGATGGATGGATGGATGGATGGATGGATGGATGGACCCACCAGGGGTCATGGAGGACTGGTGTGCCCCAGAAGCAAAGGCAGCTAGGAGCAGGAGTGACGTGGTAGATAGACCCAGGGAAGTGATTATCCCGTTTTTCTTGAGAATAAAACTGTCTTGAATACAGTGTCCAGTTTTGGGCTGCCTGATAACAGAAAGACATGGATAAATCTGAGTGCATCAAGGAGGCTGTCACCAAGGTAACTGGGAGATGGAGAATTTCTCCTGTGAGGACTAGCTAAGGGAGTTTGTCTTCTTCAGCTGGAGAAGAGGTAGCTCCAGGAGGACCTAGCAGAAGCCTACCTGCCAGGCTCTTTCATAAGTACATGGCAGGAGGATGAGTGGTCATAAACTGTAACGGGAAGTTTTAGACTGGGTTTAAGGAATTGATTTATCACTGTGAGGATTTGGGGGGTTTATTTTTTGAAAATCTCACAGAGAGTGGTGTCTACTTGTTTATTGGAGGAGAAATCTCCAAAGGACACAAAATGTATCTCTTCACTTAGCTTCTGCTAACCAGACTTACATAGGATGGCTGCTAACAGCACTGTCAGTCTCTTTTTGCTTAAGAGACCACATACTGCTCTTGAACTTAGGCAAATTTACTCATCTTTTTCTCCCAGAAGGACCTACCATATTACCATAAGCTAATCCTTCATGCAGTGCCTGTTTATCAATTTCATCTGTGTCCTGCCCAGTCCAGCATTTATGATCATTTCTGCAAGCAACCATCTATTTGCTTACGGACTATTACAACTGCACTCAGAGAGCTCTTACTTTCTCATTCAGCTCTTATCAGTGCTGTGAAACTCTTCAAAAGACTTATCTCGAGTCAGATTCACCACTGTGCTTCACTGGGTTGTGACACTTGATGTCAGAAGGAAGCCAGAATAAACCAACCAAACAGGAGTCATGTGTTTCTTTTTAACTCAGTACCCCAGTGGGTTTGTTCCTTCCCTCTGCTTCTGTGTTTTATAGTGCAAAAAACACCTTCAAAGATGACTTTGGATATTTATGTAAACACAGCTTTATTTTGACTCTATGCTTTTCAAAGCATATACTTTACCTCCTTCAAGAGACATCAAGGCAAGAAAATAGCCCGCATGCTCACTGAGGTCTCCGCTGTTAGAAGCTGCAGAATGGCTGTTCAGGCTGTCTCAGAAGTGCTAACCCAGCTCCTCTGGGGAATGCACACTAACGCACTCTTTCACTGTGTGATCCTATAAGCCCAGGCAATGTGACAATTGGCATTTTCTGGGGCCTACAAAGGGGCAGCAGAATGGGAGAAGAGCTGCTTGTCTCAGTGAGTTTGCTCCTTGAGTGCAAACTGGGTGTTGGGCTTACAGTGTGCTCTTTCCTTTAATATTGTCCCAGCCTGCAGGAGGAGGAGAGTGGCAGGACTGTACATAGTGAGCAGGCTGAGAGTGATGCTGGTGCAACTCAAAGGGGAAGTTTCCTCTGAAGATGAAGAGAGGCTATTCACCATGACTTTCACAGGAAGCCTGCACACACTTTTACTCCTCTTATGCCTACTGCAGGGACATAAATAGCACTTAAGTGGTGCTTAGGTGTTGGACTGACCTTTGGTCTGAGTGAGTTTCATGCTCTGTAAACTCCTTCTCACCATCTCAGTGCACAGGGAGAATGGAGAGCTCAGGCACATTTGGTCACCCACTTTGTATACTTTGCATGTGAGGCTGGGTCTCCAGGACTGATGGCAATCTCTTGTGGCGACACATGCAGCAAGCATTTTGGCCCTCTATTTCTGTGCCTGGTAAAATTTGGTCAGTAACACATTTATGGTTAGTCTGCCAAGTACTGGATATGGAAAGGCTGTTTTCTTAAATTTTTTCTTGGAACTTGCCAGCCAGATTACTGTAGGATCTGCAGCATAGATACAGACAACTGATGGGGCCATCAGACCTGGCCTGATGGAAATGAATCCAAACATAATAGTTCCTATAATTTTCTATTTGATTAGTCTCTTTAGATCCATCTCATGGTTTCTACACTTCGTGGTCCCGCTGCTCCTTACTATCTCATGGTGGGACTTACACTTGCAGAAGTGCTACCAGCTGAATGAAACCAGAGCTGAACATGTGTCCGTGGATCTCTGAGTCTGGGTCTCTGAGCATCATTGCCATAGAGTCACCACCATGAAAAATGTTTCCCTTTTGGTAAAGAAGAGGGAAAGAGACTTAAACTTCATTTGGAAGACTCTAGGTGAATACTTTGTCCAGAGACTGGCTTATTTTTGTGTCCTATCTGCCAGGAAACTGGTAAACATTTGGGATACTCTTCCTAAATAAACACATTCATCTGTTGGGCAACTGCCTACATCTGCTGGGAACC